GCCTGCCGGCCCCGCCGCCAGCCCGCCGGCCCTGGCTGAAAAGCAGCAGCCCGTTGGGCTCGGTGGTGCGGAAGTCCAGGGAGATCGAACCCGTGCGCTTGGCACTCCAGCGGGGCAGTGCCACGAAGGCCTCGGGACTCTCGAAGGTCACGGGGTCCAGGGCAGCCACATCCTCACAGCGGAATGACAGATCCCCTTGCAGCTTCATCTTGGGGTCCCCTTCCTTGGCCAGGCGGGACAGTTCCAGTTTGAAGTCATTGTTCTTATAGACGACCTGCAGGGATGGGCAGGTCGAGGATAAAGAAGCAAGGCAGTTCAGGGCGGGGCCCCTCCAGGCCAGCAGCAACCAGCACCAGGGGATCCAGCCATCCACCCCGGAGCCCCTCAGTGCCACCAGGCCACTCAACTTGGGGCTGTGTTCTGCAGCTGCATGCACAGAAGCTGTGAGCAGCACCTCCCTTGCCCTGTGTGTGTCCTCTGTCCTGTCTTCTGGTCCAGCATGAGCATGGCAGCTCGCCCTGTGGGCTCTCGGTGCTGTCAAATCGCAGTTAATAATGACAAGGCCGGCAATCGCCGCTGACATCTGGTGGCCATTTTCTACTGGACAAAATGCTCTCACTTACACTCTCATGTGCTCCTCACAACAACCTTAAGAAGTCGGTACTGACCACTCATCTACAGAGGGAAAACTAAGCGTCAGACCGTCAATGACCTGGCCAAGGTCACAGAGCTAGTGAGTTGAAGGCCCAAACCCAGGTCTTCAATCTTCATATCTAACATTCCTTCCTCTGTACCACAACTGTTTTTGGGAGTCCTCTGCAAGGATGGGGCTTCCAAACCTCAAGGAAACGAGAGAGACGCCTCTTGACCAAGCCAGTGAGCCTTAGTTTTGAAGAGGGGATGTCTCCCTCCAAGGACTTGGAAGGAAGAGAACCTGGGAAGCCCGCCAGGCCAGACTAAGTCACAATGAAGACGGGGCCGAAGGGCTCCTGGGACGATCCAGCCCCTTCCTCGCCCTACTCACGTCCTTGAGGCAGCCCATGAAGTTGTTGCTGACGGGCGAGCCCGGCAGGTCAGCTGTGTTGGGGCTGCCCCCAATGTAGAAGAAGTCGTCAGAGCCCAGCATGGTGTAATCCTCCTGTGTGTAGCCTGTGGTGGTCAGGATTCCGTCCACTGAGATGGTCACCTGCCCAGCCCAGGGAGGGAGGGGGAAGAGACAGGAGACAACCGGCATCAACTCCCTGGGAAGAGCCTTGGGCTGGGCAAGGGAGGGGCCAGGGGGCAGTGGGGGAGGGGGACCCCCATTTTTATGTCTGCTTGTCTTGGAGGAGGAACAGTGGGGGAAGAGAAGGAAGCAGGAAAAGGAGCAGCACAAGATTTGATGGTTCCAGGATGGGTTAAGGCCAGTCCTGTGGCCCCCAGCTCAGCAGGCAGGAGCCTAACGGGTGCTTGGAGCGCTCCCCATAAGAGCCCCAAGAAGTGGTTCCAGAAGGCGCTCTGGATGGGAATGGGGACTCCAGGACAGGGCTCCATTCTGGGGTGCAGGGGAATGCAAATAGAGCCCTCACTTTTCTCCTCTTGAAGATACACACATGATTTCAGAGCTTCTTTCAAAAGTGAGGCACAGAACACCAGTGCTCCCTAGATCCTGAAGGCTTAACTCACCTGCAGCCCTCCCTGCCGGGCGCTGAGAGGTCTTTCAGTCTGAGCCCAGTAGGGAGATGGAAGATGAGGCATGAGGACCAAGAATTCAGACATTCCTGGGAAGTCTTGCAACTTCCCGCTTTGCATAATGCCCATCGGGGCTGATTCCCGCCCCTGCCACCCAAGGGTCCACACTTCTAGCCCCTTCCTGAGTCTCCCCTCAGGCCCCTTATACTCGGGCCACTCTCTTACTTCCAAAGGAGAGGGACGCCTATTCATCAGCCCACCCTTCCTTTCTTCACATCTAATTGTCTTGTCTACTGATGTCACCATTGGAAGCCACAGCCAAGTTGGTAACAAAGGCGGACAGGACTAACTTCATTATAACTTACTCCTGGGCTGAGAATCCAGTAAACAAGATGGCAAGGAGGAGGGAGTAAGTACCTGGTATTCCAAGAGGTAGAGGCTCAGCAGTGGCCTGGGAAGGCAGAAGTGGCCTTGCGGGGGGCATGATAAGAACAGAAAACTTCTTTTACTCCCTCAGTAACCCAGGCAAATGCTCTCCTGGTCCCCAAAACGTCTAGCCCTATGAGAAGCCTGCAAGTGTTCAAGGTACCCAGCAAGCCTGTGGGGGAAGAATCAAGGGCTGTGGGACCACGAGCCCCATTATAGGAAGGCAGTGGTTTGGGAGGGTCAGCTGGGGGAAGGTCAGCTCCTGCAGGGAAGCAGGCCAGACTCATGGTCAGCCGGGTACTGTGCTTCCACAGGTCCCACTCCTCAGACGCGCCTCAGTACCCCTTTCTAGGCAGTCTGGAGACTGGGGCCTTCCCCCCCATCCTGTGATGTCCCCACCCACCCAAGTTCATACGCACATGCCATTGGCCATCTTCCAGCAACTGGTCTCCAGGGTTCCATTGTCTCAGTGGGGGGGGATTCCCAAGGGACACAGGAAGCTTCCTGCCCTCCCCCGGACCCTCAAGTTCCCCTCCTTCTTGGCTGGAGTCACAGTGAATGGAGCAGAGAGCTGAACCCACACGCCACCTCCTGGGAACCATCAAACCTTGTGCTGGGGGTGACTAGGTTCAAGGACAGGAGGTGAGGGGGTGTCTTCATGGAAGAGAGCAGTCTGAAAGCTTTCAAATCTTGTTTCAAGGGGAAGCCTGTTCATTATCATTTATTTCTTCTTCCCTCCACCCTACTCTGAGGCTGGGAAGTGGGGTCTGGGTAGAAAAGGGAAGGGTTAAAGTATTAGTCACAAAAACATGCAAACGAGATTAGACCTGGCAGAGAGGAGCTGGAGAAAGGGAAGAGGGGACCGGGATGAAGGAAAGGGATACAACAGGGAGGGGTGACAGGGAAAGGGGCCTCCTTGGGGCGAATTCAACTCTATCCAGCCCTCCATCTCCACTCCCGATGCTGTACCGAGACCAGGAATGGGGCTGTTCACTAGGACCTAAGCCTAAGTCTGGTCACCCCAACTGGTCAACTCTTGAAGGGCAGGCACCAGCCTGACATGTCCCTGTAACCTCACTAATCTGAGCACAGTCCAGGAGACATGACATATAGTCATTAAAGGTAAACAGCAAGTCATCTTGTGACCCGGGGCCACATGGCCTACATCCCTATCTGTAAATCTAATGCCCTGGGAGCCTGCAACTTTGGTGACAAAGCCTCAAGTGCATCTCGCTTCAGTGCAGGGGAGGGTTCTCCCACCCCCAAAGCTCCCCAGGAAGAGAATCTCCCCTCCTCTGGCCTCCAGTCCACCTGAGCCCCTTAGCTGTTCTCCTTCCCTGGGGCCAGCCACTGGCCATCTCCCTCACTCTATGGGCTCGCTTCACCCCCCTGCTTGCCAAGGTCACCCTCCCTTTGCCCTTTCAGAATCAGAAGGACCTGGCTTGGCGGGGGGGGGGCACCCCCTCAATTCCCAGGCTGGGGTCAATCTCAACATCTGTCCCCTGGCTTTGTGCAAGTCACTCCCATCTGTCCCCTATCCAGAAAGGACTGCCCTAATCTCCCTCTGATGGGTGGAGTTGCGGTCGCAGGAGGAAGGCTACCGTAAGGAGGTACACTGAGGAAGGGGATCAGCCGGAGGGGGGTAGCAGAGGGAGAGACTGGCACTGGGTGGAAAGGAAGCCGAGGGTGGAGGGAATGGAGGAAGGTCTCTGGGGAAGGCAGGGAGGGAGATGACTTCGATTAGTAAAACCCGACTGTTCCCTCAGACAAATCAAAGTCCAGACACAAAAATGGCAGGTTCGTTAGTAAAAGCAGGAAACAGGGGAATAATTCCCCCGGTCCCCCTCCACCCCGGGGGTTCATGATGCCCCGGCCCCCCAACCCCCGCACAGCTTCGGGAAGGGGTGGGGCCGGTGGGGGAGGAGGGAAGGGAAGGGGCCGTGCGACACAGAACAGCCACTGCAGCCGGGACACATGCAGGTTAGAGGAGCAGGGTGGGGCCAGGCCCAGCAGGTCAGGCCAGAGAAAGGCAGCCAGTGAGGAAGCGTGCAGGGCAGGGGCATCAGGGAGAGCAGAGATGGAGGCGACAGAGCCCTGGGGTGCAGGAAAGGGGAGCTTCCTTCCAACGGGGAGAGGAGAGAGGAGCAACCACTAGGACAGAGACTCGGGTTGAGAAAGAACAGGAAGAGACTTCGCCTTCCTCGTCAGTGGGCGGCCCACATGCTCATTCCACCACTCAATCGCCACCAATCACCAGCCCCAAACACACCTGCACATGCACCACTTCCTGCCCAAAGCAGGGGACGTCCTACTGTCTTTCCAAACAGCATCACCAGGACACAACAACGGGGCTACACCCAACCCACACCAACCCGCTCAACAGACAAGCAGGCTAAGGGGGTCTCACGTAGGCCCAGGGGAATGAGTCAGGGCTTCGGCCCTGGAAGGGTCGTATCCAGCCAAGGGAGAGGGGAAGGGATACAGAGGCAGCAGAAGCCCACCGCCCAGCCTCTACTGCACTCCCAGGAGTGAGGAGGCTGGCTGGAGGTGGCCTGCGACCCGGATGGGCTCTCAGCCCTTCCTGCTGACCCCCCCTCTCTCCTGCTCTGCTCTGCTCTCCTCCCCTGCAGCAGGCTGGGCAGGATGAGAAACTAGGTACTGGCCATAAGTATTCCATGCCCACCATGCCCCAGGAAGAAAGGCTGAGGAAGAGGGGAAGTACCCTTTGCCCACTTCCGGAGCCTTTCCCAGTTGCCTATGATGATCACAGGGTCACTGATCTCCTTGGAAAGAGGACTTGAGAATAAGACTGAGGGCTGGTGTCTTCAACTTGTGGGCAGGTTGGCTGGGCTTCAGGGATTCCAAGCCCCTCGACAATGTAGGCAAAATTGCTTCAATGGGTTTATTTTTCCTGTGAGAGTCCATTGCTGTCATCAAATTCTCAAAGGGATCCGCGGATAGACCTCAAAGGGTGGCTAACGGCAACTAGTGTAGGTGCTGGCATCCCTTAGGATTGAGTGGGTAGCAATAAGGGGTGAAGATAAGGGGGAAGAAAGGGTCTCCAGGCTGAGTGAGGTCATGCAAGTCCTGTTAGGGGTTTGGTTTGGCCACCTGTTTGGTGTGGGAAACAGAAGCTAACGAGAGACACAGGCTGAAAAGACACACTAAGAAAATGAACTTAACTGGCAGTTGTAGCCCTACCATGAACCCTGAGATCTGGATTTGATCTTTGGGAATAGAGATGAAAGGTTTCAGGTCAGAAATCCGGGGTTCTCTGCAATCAGTACACTCTTTTCTACAACAATCTCATTTTACCCCTCTAACTCTCATCTGTAGAAGGAGTCACTCCCATTTCTTCCAGGCTCACCCTGAGCATCAAATGAGAGAAGTGAAACTCCTTCATATCAAGCTATGTGACCCCAGCAAGGTGCTTTGTCTGGGCCTCAGTTGCCCCCTCTGCTAACTGAAAACCATCTCTTCCTGCTGCCTGCAATCCAGGTAGTCATCAAGTTTAAATGACATTCAACATGGGAAAGCTACTTAAAGACCCCCAGTGTATGTACAACAAACTATCATTGTTTTTACAAGCAAATTCCATCGGCCTGACCACAGCTAATCTAAACTTCTCAATTGGTTGGCCATTTTGATCTATATCCACCCTTTCCCTCAAGGAGAAGTGCTCAAATAACAAGAAAAGAGTCCATATAAATTAGTTTGCAAAAGTAAGCTGAAAACAAAAGGAAAACTGTCTAGGGAATGCCTTGGGAACCAGAACACACTGGACCCAGTCTGCCCTGTCTTCTGACTCCAGTCTTGGCCTGAAAGAGCTAATCCCAAGGGCAGGTTCATGAAGGTTTATGAGGCTACCAAGAGGCAGTCCGATCTGTTCATCAATCAGTCTTGCTAATGTAGGAAAATGTGGACTCAGAATTTAGTGGGCACTTTCCTTGTCAGGGCTGAAACCAGGCAGGGTTGTTTGCTGCTTTCTGTGTGTTGGGTTTGTTGTTGCTTTTGTTTGTTTGTTTGTTTGAGTCGGAATCTCACTGTGTCACACAGGCTGGAGTGCAGTGTCATGCTCACAGCCACCACAGCCTCGACCTGCTGGGCTCAGGTGAGCCTTCCACCTCAACCTTCCAAGTAGCTGGAACCACAGGCATGTGCCACCATGCCCGGCTAATTTTTTGATTTATTGTAGAGATGAGGTCTCACAAAATTGTTCAAGCTGGTCTCAAACTCCTGAGCTCAGGCAATCCTCGTGCCTCCGCCTCCCAAAGTGCAGAGATTGCAGGCGTGAGCCACCATGCCTGGCTATTGTTACTGTTTAAAGACAAGGCCTTGGCCAGGCTCGGTGGCTCAGCCTGTCATTCCAGCACTTTGAGAGGCCAAGGCAAGTGGATTGTCTGAGCCTGTGGGTTTGAGACCCGCCCAGACAACTTGGCGAGACCTCATCTCTACAATAAATCAAAAATTAGCCGAGCATGGTAGTGTGCGCCTGTAGTTTTGGCTCCTTGGAAATGGAAGGATCACCGGAGTCCAGCAGGTCGAGGATGCAGTGGCCAGGAGTGTGACACTGCACTCCAGTCTGGGTGACAGAGCGAGACTCCAACTTAAAAAAAAAAAAAAAAAAGAAGACAAGGCCTTGCTGTGTTGGTCAAGCTAGTCTTAAATTTCTGGACTCAAGCGACCCTCCAACCTCAGCCTCCTGAGTAGCTGGGATTACAGGCATGTTGCTGGTTTTCTGCTTTTTAACCAAGTTATTCACCTTTCCTTCTCCTCCTCAGCCCAATTTCTGAAGCATTTTGGGGTTTCATGCAGTTATTTTGGAACTAATTCCTAAAAAGAGATGATAATAGGATTTCCAGTGGGATCAGAGGTGCTGTATTCTCCAGGGTTTGCTATGGGGAAGGAATAATTTCTTTATAAAACGTTTCTGGGCTGAGCATGGTGGCTCATGCGTGTAATCCCAGCACTTTGGGAGGCTGAGGCGGGAAGGTTGCTTGATCCCAGGAGATCAAGACCAGCCTGGACAATATGGTGAGACCCCATCTCTACAAAAGATAGAAAAATTAAAAAAAACTAGGCAGGTGTGATAGCATGCACCTATAGTTCCAGCTGCTCGGGAGGCTGAGGCAAAAGGATCACCTGAGCCCAGGAGGTTGAGGCTGCAGTGAGCCATGATCGTGCCACTGCACTCTAGTGTGGGCAACAGAGTAAGCCCCAACTCAAACAACAACAACAACAACTCTGCCCTGGAAACACTGAGATAATCAGTTAACCCTTTCTAAAGCTTAATACAATTATACCTTCCTGTGCAGAGTACAAATGCTTTCACTCCTCACACTGCCCTCATGAAAAGTATATTATCGGCCCATTTGGTAGGTGAGGAAACAGCTTTGGTAGCGCCAGTCCACATGGTCCATTTTTAACCAAACTGAGACTAGATGGAAGGCCTGCCAGGTCCTAATTCTAGGATGGTATTCCCCAGACTCTCGGGATTCCCCATGGATTGATCTTGCCTGCCTTTTGTCCACAAAGTCACAGGTTGGCTATGCTGTCCAGTGAAGCTCTGTAAAGAAACTGCCCAATGGCCAGCTCCTGACAGGTACTCAAGGGCCTGGCCTAAGCAGGGCAGGCAGCAGCTGACCCCCAGAAGCAGCAGATAGCGGAACAAGCCTGTGGAGGTTGGTGCTGGGACCACCGCATAGCCCCTTTGGGATGCCAGGACCACTGGGAGTGACCATCGAGGTCTGAGATCGAGGAGGGTTGGGCTGGCTCTGGCGGCAGGCATTGGTCTCTGAGGGTGCAGGAAACACAGGCCTGCAGAAGTGTAAGGAAGGACCAGACATAGCCCTGAGGTGGAGCCTCCTGGGGAAGGGGCGAAGTCACTCCGGTTGGAGCCCCAACCATCACTTTTCCCTACTCACCAGCCAGCCAGTCGCGCAGGCCTGGGAGGCTGGGCAGGCCAGGCAGCTGCCCCAAGCAGCGCCGGCCCCACGGGAGCAGACACGTCCATCTGCAGGGTCCCCAGCCCGGTGCTCAATCACTCTGCATTATTAATAGGCGATGACTAACTGGCTGCTGCTGCTACAGAGCCAGGCCTGGGCGGGCAGGAGGGAATCCCAGGGGATCTGCACGGCAGGGCCTGCAGGCACACACTCCGAGGCGTGTGGGAGAAAAGAGCCAGCCCCAGTGCCCTCCCTGCCCCTGCACGTCATAGCACCGAGACTGAAGGGCCAGTCTCCACAGCCCAGCTCCATGCGGAGTCCTCACCAGGCTCCAAAGCCCACACAGTCACGCGGCCCCCAGTTCACACCAGCGCTCACACGTGGAGAGTCACCAGCAGAGCCTCGCACACACACAGTATGGTTTCCCACTAACACCCCGAAATGTCACGCCAACATTTACACACAGTCACACCCACACACCAACACACACCAGCTGCATTTACACAGACACCCACGGCGACACTCACCGGGACTGTACCCAACCCAAACAGAGGAGCTTGGCGGCAAGGATGGACAACACTACCCCACCTCCGCCCCTGCTGGCCTCTTCCTCTCCCTCCCCTCAACAGGGAAGGAAACCAGCCCCTGTCAGAGGCCATGCAGGACAGCTAGGGGGCAGAGGGGACGGGGCGAGGGGCAGGAAGACAGTGTGAAACACAGTGTTAGTCAGAGCAGCAGAGCAGTTGGGGAAGCTGGACACTATCCCTGGTGGGGGGAAAAGACCACTCATGCCATGCAAAATGTGGGGGACACGGAACCAGGAACCCTCAGGCTGAGAAGGGAGGGAGGGGATGGCACCTCTCCCCTGGCAGCCAGCATGGGCTGCCCCTAAACTGATGTAAACTGGTGACTTGCGTGACTGGTCCCAGGCAGCTCTGCATCTCCCAAGGCCATGCTCCCCACCCAGAGAAACCTGCCCAGCTGGCTGCCACCGGAGGTCTCACCCCCAGCCCCCTCCCCCAACTTGTGGGGCCTGTCCGGGAGCTGACAGTGAGCAGAGCGTAGCATGTCATGGGATGGTGTTTTCCATGGATTTTCAGGAGACCAAGAAAGAAACTAAATCAAAGAGAAAAAACAAGGGAGGGGAGGGAAAAGAACAAAACAAAGCAATCGAAATAAGCAGCCTGGCATCAGGGCTGGTCTAACCAGAGCAGATGAACTTGGGGCCTGCGCCCAGGTCTCTCTGGCCAGGAATCTGAATTCAAGAGTCAGGGGTTAGGGCAGGGACAGGCCAAATTCCTTGATTTCCGTTTGTCTTTTGGATTTGAGTTTGGACCAAAAAAGAAAGAAAAGGGAGAGAGGGAAACTAAAAGAGAGAGAGAAGCAAAATCTAAAGATTGTCCAGGACGCAAAAAACAATTGGAAGAGCAAAACAACCAAAACCAAACAGGGAGAGGAAACGAAAGAGGGAGAATCGAACAGTTAAAAAAACCCACGGCAAACCAAACGGTAAGACAATTAGAGTGATATCTACCAGATAATGCAGTTTGTTTACCATAGCGTGTCCAATCCCTGCGTGCTTCACCGGAGATATGGGGGGAGGGGGAGGGGGGGTGTCAAAAAAAACAACAAAGACAACAACAAAAGAACAGAACAAAAAGAAAAGAAAAATAAAATGACCAACTGTGAAACTCAAGAAAGGAGGAAAAATATATATCCATATATATTTGGTTGTTTGTTCCAACCCTCTCACCTTAGGTTCAGCGGAAGTATTTGTTTAAAGAAAATTAAATTATAATGGGCGGGAGAAATAAAACACACACAAAAATTAAGTCCCTTCTTCTCCCCATCCCTCCCCAACCCTTCCTCTGGATTCCTCTTCCCCCCACCCTCCTCCCGGAAGAGCCATCTGCAGAGAAGGGGAACAGTTAGAGACCTTGGTTAGTAGAGAAGAAAACAACAAAAGAACTGGACCAAGAAAGCAAAGACTTAAAGATGGCCGACATTCCGCAGATGAGACAGAAAGGTTAGTTCGGTTTTTCACTCATACCTTGCCCCACCTGTCCCTGCCCATCCCTTGGTCCCCTGGGTTATAAGCGTGTTAGTAACACACACAGAGTCGCCAACGGGGTTTTCCAACAGAGGGTGAGAGAGGGAAGGCAGGGGATTAAGAAGCGGACCCAAGTATGCGGTATTAGTAAGTCCTATCGGCTGAAATGTTAGGAAGTTGAGGGGAAGGAAGGGAGGGGAATAAAGGGTGTGAGAAGGCGTGGGCTATTGACTCGAGTCATGGGCTGATGAGTTTGTTGGCTAACTGATCAACCAGATGGCTTTCCAGAGAACTAGCTAAAGAGCGAGTCGATGCTGGCCAACTGGCTGACCAGTGGCCATGTCGGGTTCATGGATGAACTGGTTCGTGACAAGCCAACTGGCTGTCAGGCTGGGAGAAGAGTAGGCAACACCCTTGGAGAATCAAAGGACTGGCAAAAATGACAGGCAATTTCACTTGCAGGCAAAAGAAGGGGATTCCCAAGGGGCACAGGAGGGGACATGGGGGTCTGCTTTTCCCAGGCATGGAGGAAGGGAGGATAGGCAAATAGATCCAGGGAGTCACTGAGGGGTGGGGCAGCTCCTCTCTCTCTCTCTCTTTTTTTTTTCTGCTTCTCATCTTTGAGAAAGGAAGAGAGAATAAGTTGCCACCAGAACAGGAAAGATGAAACCTTGCCCTCCATGGGCTGGCAGAGAATTCATGCTCATATTATGTCTAACCATCCCAGACCCTCCTCCCTCTCCTCTTCCTCTCCCACCCATAGCTGACTCCCCTCACCTGCCCACCTTGACTTTTTCAGACCCCACATCTCCTGAAAAGTCCTCCAGGCTCTTCAATCACCCCGCCCCCATTCTCCTCTCCTCTGGGCTGCCATCCCTCCCAGAATTAAGTGCCCACCACCATTACCCCTGCAAGTCTCTGGAACTGGTAAGGCCATCCCAGCAGTCAAGTCTCCTTCCATAAACATCCATAAACCCCTGAGCTTCCACTTCCCACAGCCAGCACCCGAAATTCACTCCGCCAACAGGCATATAAAGGAACACATAGGCCCGCCTACCTCTAAAATCCCCTGCTTCTGCCTAAGCTAGAAGGCTATTGCTTCTGCCCCAGTCTCTGGAGTCCCCGGTCTCCTGTGGTCTTAACTTCATTTTCTCTCTCATTGCCAAAGACAGCAGCAACAACCGCCTTCTAAACTACCCTGGTCTTTGGGGAGGAGATGTCAGAGGCACTGAGGCAGCTTTACTTAGGAGTATTAGAGATAGGGGGACATTACTGCGTGATGTCCGTTAAACACTAAACTGCACACCCGAGAGTGTGATCATGGGAAGAGGTATTCTAGGAATAGATCCATTAGTTAGAGAGTTGTTATAACCAGTGAGCACAGGACTAATTCAGCAAGATAATTAATAAGGGCCTCATATAATTAAAAATAACAGAATTCAATATTTAGCAGCCAGAAGAAGTGCTGAATAACCAATATTAATTATTAGTGATGCAGAAGCAGTTTACATAGCAGGAGAAGAGTCTAATTGCTGGTGCAGTGATTGGAGCCAGGGGATAGCGTGTGATAAGAGGATTAGTCCTGCTGGCTGGTAGGACTGTCATGAAATGAAGAGGCCAACTAGTCAGAACAAGGAACAATTAGCTTCAGGCCAGCTAAACAAATTGCGCCAAGAACGTATGAGTTGTCAGGTACCACTGCACGAGTCAAACAAGGCACGCAGGAAAAAAGCATTGGAGGTGATTCTTTCTTAATTAGAACTGGTTGTGGAGAGTAAAATAAGAAAAAAAAGTTTTAACTTTCACAGAGAAGATTTCATTTTTTAAACAATTTTTATTATAAAGATGTGGGGTACATGTCAGGTTTAGGTATATAAACATTGATCATGCAGATACCCTTGTTGATGAGGTATGCCCCTCCCTCCCCAAAAGATTTCATTTTTAACAAGTAGAACAACAGCAAATCAAGAATCAGGATTGAGAGGAAGGAGAGATGAGTTCAAAGACTGGGCTTTCCACGAGTTTGTCAAGAGATTCAGGCTTCCTCTGAAAAAACAGAAGGACTAGAGTGGATGTGATGAGGCTTCTCCAGACCCAGGGATTGAGAATCCAGAACTCAGTCCATGGGCACCATGCTTAAGGAGTCAATTGTGGTCAAATACTTGAATGGAGCTTCCACTGGACCTTGTTCCTAGTGGCCGGTGACGCATAGGAAAGGGGTGCACACAGCCCAGGCCTTCCCAAAGGCCTAGATCTGGAGAACAGAGGCTTCACACTAAGGAATGAGCAGTGAAGGCTTTATACCACTCATAGAAACTGCTTGACAGCTCCTGGAGCCTGGGAGCTCAAGAATGGCAACATATGATGGATGAGTGAGAAGAGCGTCAGAATCATACAGAAGTCAGTGATCATATCAGTGGTCACGTACTATGGCCGAGGGCCTTTGGACAAAACTATACCCCATCTCCACCTTGAAATCTGAGTGTAGCTCCTGTCCCCTCGAGAAAGCCAAGAGGGGAACTGTATGCACAAATCACAGAAATCTGGGATGAAGGCAATTTGTGACGCTTGAACAAGAGAAGCTCAGGACAAATAAAAGAGAAACTCACTCCACTCAGACATAAGGGGGACCCATTTTTCAGAGGTACATGCAGAATAATCAAACGGCTTCAAGATTTGAGAACATCCAAGAATGACAGAACAGCCTCCTTTGCACATTGCACCCATGACAACAACAACCAGGTCCTTGCTTGGAGGCAGAGAAACAGAGTGACTTCAAAGACGGACAACCAATTCTGCCACTTCCTGAATGCACAAACTTGAGCAAGTTATTTACCCTTCTGGGCTTCAGTTTCCTCCTCAGTAAAATGGGAATAATGTCCCCCACCTCACAGGACCGTCGTAAAAATGAGGTAAGCTACCAAAGAAAAATAAGACCCTTGAGCCCAGAGGCTAGTGGAAGAGAGATGTTACAGGCAATCCTACTGTAACAGAATAGAATCCGAAGAAATTCAGAGGAGGGAGCAATAGAGGCATTTTTCTGGTCTTTTAAAGCAAATCGGAGTTGTTTCCAAGAGGACAACAGGTAGTTTAGTGCTCAACTGGAGTAGTTAGATCTGCTACTTTTAAACAAAACCTTAGCAATTGCCTTCAAGAAAGAGACCAAATGAGTTAGGAAAGACCACTACAAAAACAACTAAAAACACTCAACAGCCAGGAGCAGCGGTTCATACCTGTAATCCCAGCACTTTGAGAGGCCGAGGTGAGAGGATTGCCTGAGCCCAGGGGTTCAAGACCAGCCTGGGCAACATGGCAAGACCTCGTCTCTACGAGAAATCAAAAAATTAGCCAGGTGTGGTGGCACGCGCCTGTAGTTCCAGCTACTTGGAAGGCTGAGGCAGAAGGATCACCTGAGCCAAGCAGGTCAAGGATATGGTAGCCATGAGTGTGCCACTGCACTCCAGCCTGGGAGACAGAGTGAGACTGAGTCAAAAAAAAAAAACACTCAATGGTTGCTGATGTAAAGCAGTCAATTTGCTTACCACCTAGAAGTAGAGATAAGGAGTGAATTCAAATATTGACAACACAGGCAGAATGTGAGGAAAGGGCTAGAATACAAGTTTCCAAGGGCTCAAAGAACATAGCTAAGAAGGGAGGCTGGCTGGGGGTATGGATCAAGAAAGCTTTATGAAGAAGGTGGCGCTTAAGCTAGGCCTGAAGGATTGAAAAAACACAACTAAGGATAACGGCAGCAGAGAGCACTTCAGTGCTCACGTCGTGCCAGGCACTGTGCTGAGCGCTTTAAGGCATTACCCCAGTTAGTCATCAAAAGGCTCATTCTCACTTTGCTGATAAGGAGCTGAAGCTCAGAGGAGCAAAATGCATCTAAAGGCACTCAAACAACTCTTGGCAGAGCTGGAGTTTGAACCCAGCCTTTCTGACTCAAACCTCAGCTCTAAGATTTCCCCAAGCAGGAAGGGGTATGAATGGGCAGTGTCCATGGGAGAACTGTGGGAACCAAGGAAAGAATTGGAAAGCAGAATAGACAAGTGGAAGAACAGCACCACTAGGCAATAAGACCAGGTGTGTGCTATGTCTCTTCCCCTTCCTGTCCTCCTCGACCTCCATCCCTGGAGAAATACATTCTTAGAGGACTCCATCCTTGGGAATTGCATTCTTGGAGAACTCCATCCTTAGGGGACTCCACCCGTGGGGAAATGTATCCTTGGGGGACTCCACCCTCAGGGACTGCACCCTTAGGGGACTCTATCCTTAGAGAAATGCACCCTTAGAGGACTCCATCCTTGGAGACTGCATCCCTGTAGGACTCCGTTCTTGGGATTGCACCCTTGGAGGACTCCATCCTTAGAGAAATGCATCCTTGGGGGATTCCATCCTTGGGAACTCCATCCGAGGGACTCCATCCTTAGGGGACTCCATCATTAGGGTGTTCCATCCTTGGGGGACTGCATCCTTGGTAACTCCATCGTTGGGGGTGGGGGTTCCATCACTGGGGGGGTCCATCCTTGGGGGACTGCATCCTTGGGGAATTCCATCATTAGGGGGCTTCATCCTTGGGGGACTCTGTCCTTGAGAGACTGCATCCTTGGGGGACTCCATCCTTGGGGCACTGCAACCTTGGATACTTCATTCTTGAGGGACTCCATCCTTTGGACCCAGGGGGGCTCCTGAAAGTCTCTGCACTGAGGAGAGAAGTCCTCCAAGCTGGGCAAGAGGAAGCATCATGTGGTATTTTGATAGCCAGCTTGTCTTCCAAATTTGGTGCTGGCTAATGAGAAAATGGGTTTGCACACTCTGCTCACATGGTGGTGGGAGGCAGTTAGGAAGTATACCGAGTATGGGAGGAGAGTGGGCTCAGGATTTAAAATAGGCCTCAGGGAATCCTCAGAGGTAATCATTCTTGCCAAGATCCTCTAAAACACCTCCAGTCATGATGACCTCAAGGGCTGGGTTTGAAAGGTGAACGTGAGGAACTGTCTCATCAGGTCCCCTCTAGTCCTAACTGCTATGCTCTAAAAGTCTCTAGATGACTCCACTGATAATTACCTAGTCTGGGGGAAAGGCGAGGGGTAGGGGGGAAATCATGCTTCCGTCCAGTCTTTGGAGCTGGCCTTTGACCCAGCTGCAGAAGCAAAGGGGAGGGAGATCCCTCAGTGCTCATTCTGGGGCGGGCTCTCTCCAGGAGGGCTACCTCCCTAGCCACTCTAATCACATGGGAAAAAATAACCCGTAAACCAGTGTTCTCAGATCCTGGCCATCTACTCTTAAGGCTGAAGGCAGATGTCATTTCTTATATTACATCCCTATCCATTTCTTATATTAGCTCCAGGCCCATAAAACCTGGGGAGAGGCTGGGTGCAGTGACTCACCCTGTAATCCCAGCACTTTGGGAGGCAGAGGCGAGAGGATTGCCTGAGCCCGCGGGTTCGAGACCAGCCCGGGCAACTTGGCGAGACCACATCTCTACAATAAATCACAAAAACTAGCCGGACGTGGTGGCGTGCATCTGTAGTTCCAGTTACTTGGAAGGCTGAGGTAGAAGGATCGTCTAAGTACAGCAGGTGGAGGCTGCAGTGGCTGTGAGCGTGCCACTGCACTCCAGCCTGGGCGACAAGAGTAAGATGCCAACTCAAAAAAAAACCACACACAAAAATCCTGGGGAGACAGGACATTGGTTCAAGCCACCCCACCCAGCATCATCCCACTCCTAGGACATCAACTGGGCACTGTGGAAACTTGGTTGAGCAGGGCTTCTCCATGTCGGCACTTCTGACATTTGCAGTCAGATGATTCTTTGCTGTAAGGGCTGTGCTGAGACTGTAGAATGATCTCTAACCATGAGATGCCAGTAGCACACCCTGAGTTATGACAACCCAAAATGTCTCCAGATATTGCCAAGTGTCTCCTGGGGGTGGGGGATACAATGCCACTGAGTGGTTGAGAAACAGTGCTCTAGGAACACAGGATCCAACAAATTACTCTTTGAAGCTCTGAAAAGCAGGTATGCAAAGGGCCTGGCAAGGATGGACTTGGCCATAAGCTAGACCTTGAGCGAGGATAGTGAAGCCAGAGCATGGTCCTGAGGCTGACCTTCTCCCATGGCCATGATGACCAAAAGAGGGCTTCCCATTTGCAGCTCCTGCACTTCCTATTTATGGGCATTAACTGGAATCAAAGAAACCCCCCCAGAAGCCATTTATAAAGAGGGTTCCCAATCCAAGTCTTTAAGTAGACACCCTCTGCAGCCCTGAGGATCTGCTTGGGGGTCAACATGACCTGCCTCTGCTCTGAGCTACCAGGTAGAACAATCCAGGGGAAGCAGTTTCCATCAGTTACCAGCTTGGACCTGTGGCCCTGCAAGCCCCAGGAAGAGGCAACTGTGGGTCACTCACTGTCTACACCCAGCACTGCAGAGACCATGTGTCACCTCCATGTGGCTTTCTTACCTCCCCTAGCCACAGACCTCTCCCTCCTCATGGGCGTCTCTGAGTCCTAGGGTGTTTAGAGTTTCTGCTGTTCACTTGGCGCTGGCATGGTCTTGCTCCGCTCAATTGTAACACTCATCCTGTCTCAAGAGCTGAAGTCCTAGCCGGGCTCGGTGGCTCAGCCTGTCATCCCGTGCCTTGGGAGGCTGAGGTGAGTGGATTGCCTGAGCCCGCAGGTTCGAGACCCGCCTGGGCAGCGAGACCTCATCTCTACAATAAATTAAAAAATCAGCCAGGCGTGGTAGCGCATGCCTGTAATTCCGGCTACTTGGAAGGCTGAGGTAGAAGGATCACCAGAGCCCAGCAGGTCGAGGCTGCGGTGGCTGGGAGCGGCCACTGCACTCTGGTCTGGGCGACAGAGTGAGACTCCAACTCTAAAAAAAAAAAGAGCTGAAGTCCTGGGAGGGCAGAGACCATGTCTTTGTTCGTCAAATGACACATGGATGGGGACTCTGAGCTTGCAGTGACTTGCCAAAGGTAGTGGCAGGTGACAGCACTGGTCCTACAGGGAGCAGGCGAGCAAAAGGCACCAAAAGCAACTCCTCAACCACCCCCCCAATCAATGCGGGTGGCACCTGAAAGTATGACAAATGTGCATGACACACTCAGATGTGTTCTGACAGAGGTGACAACAAGGGACAGCCCTTTAGCCAGGTACAGGAATGCCATGACATAAAGAGGGATGATGCATCAGGGAGGAGTGACTCCACCAAGCATGTCACTCTTCAGAACATGGGGTGGCGGGGAGAGGGGGCATGCGCTAAGAATAGGCGCATCCGTGGAAGCCCGTCTGCAACAGGTAGCGGCAGGCCTGGGAAGCAGCGAGATTAGTCACGGCGTTCTCCTGGCAAGGGGAACAGCATTAACGAGGAGGAATCCCCATTAGATCATTGTCAACAGTGTCAAATAAGAACAGGTAAGAAGAGTGGGAGGATGGCCAGGATCCAAGCCCCCCTGAGAAGGCTTTCAGCGAAGGAAGGGGGGAGGACGAGGACAAAGATGATGACGAAGAGGAGAGACAAGGAAGGTCAGCACCAGGCCACTAGAACCAGGAAGTCCAGAGAAGACGAGTAAGAGAATGGACACAAAGCAGTAGGGGGAGCCTCTGAGGGCAGGGCTGTTTGGTGGTCCCAGTTGCACTTAGACCTAGAGAGAGAGCTGGCTGTGGAATTGTGGACTTGAGAGAAAGAACAACCAGCAAATGCTCAAGCACCTGGGATCCCTGGTGAGTGTCAGGAAGAGGAGTCAGGAGGTGGGGACAGAGGTCGCCAAGGGATCCAACGCGGTCTGTCCTGCTTGGACCCTGCTTGAGGAGGAAAACTTCTCAGGGCTAGGAACAAGCTGCAGGGGCCCCTGTCGAGCTAGGCCTGGCCAGAGAAACGGCCTCACCTGCAGTAGCACCCCTGGGCCTTGAGAGAGGTGAAGAGGATCATTCGGAAGGGGACCTGTCCAGTGAAGGTATCTGGGAAAAGGAGCTGAAGGAACACCGAGGAGAAGAGTCCTGTCCTGTCTGCAGGGGCTGACCCAGGGAGGTCTCCTCTGAGCACCTTTGTGGGCTAGCCCGGGAGCCAGGGAGACAGGTGACAAGCCGTGGAAGCTGGGAGTACCTGGCTCCTTTGAAGGAAAGGGAGGAAAGAAAAGGGCGTGTCCTGTCTACAAAAGGCGGGCTCAGCCCCCTCTCTGGTCCTAGCCTCCCTCGCCTGCCTGCTGTGCTTTCTCCTCACTCTGACTCCACCCTTGCTTCTGGCCTAGAAAAGCCCTGGCTGAGGGCAGAGCACATCCTGGCCCACACAGCTCGGGTCCGTCTGCGTACCTCGTCGCTCGTGTCGGGATACCCACACCTGTTCCAGCAGGCCTGAGCCTGCCAGTCCCATAGGAGTCCCTCCCCACCCCCCAGGCCCACCCAGTCAGGCTCGGACTCGCTCCTCCAGCCTCCTAAATCGCCCTCCTGCCAGATCACCTGATTTCTTGGCCTCAACCCTGGTGACCCCAGCTGCTCACACCAGTCTGAGCCTAGCCCTTCCCTCCTCCTCAGCCTTCTGCCTGGGCAGCTCTGGAACCTCCTCCTAGTTCAGCTCCCTGGTCTCTGGAGCCTGCCACGCCGCTGTGGCTACATGCCGGGACCCTCACAGCCCAAGCATGCCCTGTTCTTCTCCAGAACCACGCCTCCCTGCCCGGCCCTGATCTCCCCACCCCACACCCCTGCAGCCCCCTCTTTCCACCCCCATTCTGCCTCAGGTTCGGCTAACCCCTGGCTGCCTCCTTGCTCCCCCTACCTGGCGCAGGTTTCGGGTGACCCGGACGTCGTGCCAGGCGTTGTCGTTGAACTTGCCGTTGACGGGTTCCACAAGGGCCTCGAAGGCTCCTGAGCCTAGGTTGATGACCAGCCAGACGGCCCCGGACTTGAGGGACAGGTTGACATAGTCTGCCGACTTGCCCGTGTGCAGCATCAGCCCGTTGCGCTGCAGGGTGCGGAAGGCCAGCGTGATCTCGTCGGTGCTGCTCTGGATGGGGTTGTGGGACAGGTCGTAGCAGAAGAACTCATTGCCTTTGAAGGTCGCCACGAACTCCTCCTTGCCTGGACGCCACGGCGCGGGGAAATGGGAGAAGGCTGAGTGGAGTGGGGTGAGCCAGCGCCTCCCGCGCCCCTCCAGTGACCCAGGTGCCAGTCCTGGGCACAGGAGCCCTGGCGTCCCAAGTCCTAGCTTCAGACCTCTTCCCCTCCTTCAGAAGGAGGGCTGATAGGCTCCCACAGGAGGCACACCAGGTGGGTGATAGAGCAGGACAGAGGGGGCTTGGCCCTGCACCTTCTGACAGGGGCCTGTCAACTCTCCTCTCCAGACCCTGCCTGTCTGTGCTGTCAGAAGTTAACTTCCTCCGTGTCCATTTCCAAACCAGGAGGCTGCTAAGTGGCCCTACACTGACAGCTGACAATGACGCTGCCACAGAGCCAGGGTGCCCGCTGTCCCCTACCCACCCACCTTCCCACTGGCCACTACCCTTAACGAGAGGGACACAAGAGGCTCTACCTGACTTCTCCCTGGGAGTTCCTCCCCTATGGGAAGACACCAAGGGTCTCCTGGGTGAAGCCCACCTCTCCCTCCGGCCCCTCCTCAGGTGACACTGCCTGGGGACAGTTTCTGCTTCACCCTATGGGATGGGACCGCAGGCCACTTGTGCAACAGGGAGCAGATGAAGAGAATGGGATGCAGTAGGATGGGGGAAGGGTGGGGGAGACGTGTGGAAAGGCAATGCAGGTGACAGGTATGCACCAAGTAGAAGCAGGCCACTGGGCAGAGCTCAAATGGGCACCCACCGTGCCATCTATCACCCCCACCTGTAGCTCCCTATGTCAGTCTAAGAAGGACAGCACCGCAGGCCCTAAGTAGAGACCTCAGAGGGGCCCCAGAGTGCCAGGATGCAACCTGTGTGCTCAGCAGGTGAGGGGGTGAGAGTGCAGGGCAGGCCTGGCTCTCGTGTACGTGCATGTCTGCACGTGCACGTGTGCACATAGGCACCCAGCACAGGGCCCTTCGATGGCACTTTTTAAGCCGAAGCCACAGCTACTGGGAGAGCCTTAGGGATTGTTGTCATCCTGTAAGTTGGCGACAAGTAGGAGGACAATGACCAGGTACCGGGAAGTTGGGGTGTCAGCCCCACAGTTTCACAAGCCGGGGCACAAGCAGAGCGAAGAGAACCAGCCCTAGAGTCAGGAGAAGCCAGAGGATCTGGGGTCTGCCTGCGGCTCACGGCTCACTTCTCCTGGCCAGTGACACACAGCTGGTCCTGCCCACCTCACAGGGCAGATGTGGGCCTGCAAGACTGTGTCCCGAGAGTCTCTATGAAGACACTGAGTTGTCCAAGAACAGGAGTTCTCAGTGGATGCTCCCAAGCCCCATGCAAGAGCAGGGCAATGCCAGGGTTCACTCAGGGCCCCCAGGAGGCACCTGCCTCCCCCTGAGGGATGGGCCTCAGCAGCAGCGCTCCATGTCGAGGTGGGGGGGGTCTCTGGGTGCAGATTCTGCAGATCTTCTTCCCTCCACACACAGCCTGCTTCTCTCTCTCCGGGCAGGCTGCCCACAGACTCTGTCCTCACTGCCTCCGGATGCCAAGGCACCAGCTGCTGCCCCAGAGCCTGGCACAGCACTTGCTGCAGCTGGCAAGGCCTGGTTTCCTGAGGCCACAGGGCAGCAAGGCTGGTGGGGGCCTGGGCAACATCAGGACAGTCTGAATCCCTCCCTCTGTCTATTTAGGGTACTGGTGGGGGGACCAGAAAGCAAAGGAGAGAACCCCAGCAGAGACCAGAAGGGATGGTGGGGACAGTGGTGACGTGGAGGCAGGGCAGAGAGGGAGAAAGGTGGTTCGTTGTGGGGCGGAAGAGAAATGGAAACAGCTCAGGGCGGCGAGGGAGCAAGAGGGGGTGAATGCAGCTATCTGGACGGAGAAAGGGAGCAAGCCCTGAGGGGACAGGTAAAGGAGATGGGAAGAAGGCCAGCAAGGAAAGGGGACAGAGACCTCTAGGGAACGGAAGCCAAGGCTTTCTGGGGCCTTGCCGTTCCCATAGCAACCAGGCCTGCTGCCCAGGCACTGGCAGAGCCAGGGGGCTCAAGGACCAGAAGAGGAAATGTACGTGACCTTGGGTTTGCCACACATGCTCATTCCTCCCAGAAGCCGCCCCTCCCACTCCCTCACCTTCACTGCAGTCAAAGAACATATCATTAAGGAGAGAGTCCAACAGAAGAAAGGGGAAGAATAAGGCAGCCACGTGAAAAAGTGGTTGACAGAACAAAGGAGGCCGGAAAAAGGAGAGAGGCGGGTCCAGGGCTGGACCGCGGCTGCAAGGCCAAGTGGAGAAATGAGGCCATTCCTCGATTCCTCAGCTCTCTTGGGTCTCTTAGGAGAGGAGGGAGAGCCGCCCCCCTGGCGTCTGAGCCTCCAAAGGCTGTGTTCCCTTTGCCACCAGAGGCCTGGGAAGGCCCAGAGATGCAAAGGGGCGCGGAACAGCCAGAGGGAACCTGAGCACCTCGGAGGAGAGGGGCAGAAAAGGGGCGTGCACGTGTGGAAAGGAAAACCCGAGGCTGGGGAGGGGAGCGAAAACCTGATGGAGGAGGGGGCCGAGACTCCACAGGGCGAGGGCGTGGGGTGGCCGAGGGTGCTCCTGGAGCGCCAACCAGAGCTGGGATGCGCAAGCCCCAGAGCAGCAGGGGGCGCTCGCCCCCACCTTGCTGTGTTGGAGGAGCCGGGAACTACAACTCCCAGCAGCACTCAAACAACTGGCGCTCCTGACAGCCCTGGCCCAGGAAGGGGGCAATAGCCGATGGGAGTCTACCCCCCCACCCACCGCCGGGAAGTGTGTGGCCCACAAGGGTCCCCAGTGAGGCTGGAGATGGCTAGAGACCAGTGGCTGTGGTCCTGCATTCCTGAGCCCGGCTCGCAGGCCTCCTCTGGGACGGTCTCCAGCCCCATCCCCCAGCCCTGCCCTGCCCACTTGGCACCTACTGCCTAGTAACATCTTGTACTGCTCCCGGAGAGGAAGTGCGACGTGAGAAAGAAGGCCTGGGTGCTAGTGCTGGCTCCACCTTCAGCTCTGTGACCTTCGCTGGTCATGGAGTCAGGCTCAAGGGCCCAGCTTCCTCCCCCGGAAAGTGGACCTCTCGGAAGGAGAAGGGTCAGGTCGGCTCCCTCCACTGCAAACCGTCCCACAAGCAAAGGCCTCTTGTACTGGTATGTAACTTTCTGTGTGTGCGCTGACTCCTTCCCTCCCCCCTCCCTCTCCCCACCTCAGTGAATAAATCAACTCTTCTGAACAAGATCTGTACTTTTCATACACTTTGCGCGGCCCACGCTTTATTGTAGTTATATGTTAGAACATCGATGAGCCCCTCGGGAAAAGAGACCATGGGCTCACATAAAATAAATTTGCTGAGCACAAGCCTACGATGTGTCAAGAGCTGGGTAAAGCACCAGGACACACAGATGAAAACACCCGATCCCTGTCCTCAGGGAACTCGGACCAGTGGGGGAGACAAAAGGGAAAGGGACAGCTATGACGCAGTGTGATGAGACTCCTGATGGAGGTGTGGACTGAGGGAACACCAGAGGTGTCCAGGTGAGCCTGGGGCGCTCAGGGAGGCTTCCTGGGGCTGATGGCCTGGCTGCTTTCTGAGAATCAGCCAAGGAGCTACCAAGCTGCTGGCAGAGGGGGCAGGGACGGCGGAAATCCAGGCAGACAGAAGAGCACAGACTGAAGAATGGAAATGGGCCACCACGCCACAGTGCTTGGCACCCACTGGAGTTCCTTTAGGAGTCACTAAACTGGCCTCTATACTTAGAGAAGAGTCTCTTGAGAGAGGCAGCCTCAATACAGAAAAGGAACTAGAGCCCTGAGACAGGCCTCACAGGTTCTGAGGTGGCCGGTGTCAGTTTCCCCATCTGTAAAGCAAGGGCAATGATCCCCACCCTGAGGGGCCGTGAAAGCTCATTCAGAAGATGTGCATGATACCTGCGGATTATAGACGCCACATCTCGCAACCGGAATCCCCCTGGGCTGGGCGCCTAGCAGGTTTCCAGAATTTGATGGTTAAATGGAGGGTTGCCCTACTGCCCGACTGCTCTAGCAGAGAAACAGATACTTTCTAGTACCCCTCAGTTGAGGAGTCTGTAGCCCACAAGGTCCCCAGTGAGGCTGAATGTGGCTAGAGAGGGTTGCTTGGTCCCGCATTCCTGAGTACCCCAGCGAGTGACAGAACAGCTGCCTCCTTTCCAGCCCCGTTCAAAGGCCTCCTCTGAGAAGGCCTTCAGCCCCCTCATCCCCTTCCTGTGCTCCAAACACCTGTGTTCCAGAAACAGGCCATCAGGACAACCGGGCGTTGGGGAAGGAATGGGGGTTCATGGCCCTTCACACCAGGGCAGCTAATGGGGCCCACAGAACGGTGCTGGGGGTGTGGGCCCACTGGTTCCCGTAGGCCTCTGAGGGACACAGAGGGACGCGCCTGTGCTGACACAACCTCCCCCCAGGAAGTGCAGTTGGCCTGCAGTGGGGTGGGGGCTGGGCTCTCTGGGGACCATGGGGTCACTGACCTTTTGTCAGCTGGTGCACATCGCCGGCTCCTCCTCTCCCGGCCCCCCCCTCGGAGAACAGTAAGGACCCTACTGGAGAAGCAGAATTGGGGAGTCAGGCACAGGGGCGACCGGCCAGTCCCTCCCCAGCCTTGAGGTGACGAAGGGCCCTCTCCAGGGCGGAGGTGCTGCTTGGAAAGGTATAGGTGAGGAGCGGCTTCTCCAGGGGCTTCCTGGCCTTCAGGACCTCTAGGGAAGGAGCCGGGAGACAAGCCAATGGCCCCCAGTCCCACAGGTCCCACTAGACTCACAACCACCAACTTCCGCCCTTGACCAGGGTGGGGAGACCGGGCAGAGGAGCAGAGGCCTTGCTGCTAGGCAGGGACCCCTCTTTCCCACAGCAGGCAGCCAGGCCAGCCCTCAGCACCTGGGGCCCTTTCTCGCTCGTTCTCCTGGCCACCTCGGCCACGAGGCTCATCCCCTCCAGCCACACTCTGCAGCTCCACTCACTTCTTTCCTGCTGGGTCAGAGTGCTCACGCCTCAGCTCCCTCAAAGCCTGGCACGGGCACCCTGGTTCGCACACCCAGCCGCTCTTCTGCTCCTCGCATCTGCACCCGCTTCGCCCACTGGAGTGCTCTGAAGGGTGCCTCCGTCCACTTACTTGCCAGTTGGACCCTGAGCCTTCCCAGGAGCTTCCCGTGGCTCCTGCTTGTGCTCCGTCCCTCCCTGGCCCCACAGAAGGGTTGTGTGATGAGATGGAGCCCCCCGGCTGCAGGAAGCCCTTTCTTAAGAGTCACTTCTCACCACCACCACCCCACTCATCAGCACCCAGGCCTCTGCTCCAAAGGCCCCAGGGGGTACATTTTCCCACGTCTGGGTTCTAGGCCAGCTTGAACTTTCCACACCGGCGCCAGCGGACTGTGCACTTGGCACCTGGCTCCCAAGCACCCATCCCTGTCACCTGATGCAAGGGATGGCTTCAGGATGAGGCAACTCGGGATGGAGAGGAAAGCCCCTATTGGGGTTGGGGTTGGGCTCTTACTCCATCCCCAATCCCAAATCTCCAGAACTAAAACCAGAATAACACCTAAGCTGTGGGACTTTCCAGGAGGCTTTCTGGGATCCCTTGGGAGGGACTTCATCTATGACAAAGGGGAGCCACAGTCAGGGCCCCCAGACCTGGGCACTGAGAGGCAAGGAAGATGTGACTGAATCAACCAGGGCTTCTGCTCCTGACTCCTGACTCAGGGCTTCCTCTTTCCTCACATTTCTTGCCGTAATTCCTCATACCTGCAAGAATCTCAGGCCCCTCCCTCTCCAGACCTAAATCCATGCCAAACTGCAGCTCTAGATGAATCGCTCCTCACAGTCCTGTTCTAGTGCTATGTGCTTCTCCTGCAGGACCCCATCCTGTCCCTCTGTAAGATGACCCCCATAGAGGGTTGAACCAGGCAGGTGCAGCAGTGCCAAAGGGTCTGGAAACTGAGCTCAGAGAGAATCAGTGGCAGGTGGCAGGGGCGGGGTGGAGGAGGCCATGTCAGGACTCCTGGATTCTGTCTCTGGGTCTGCATAACACCAGGGCTCTCAAAGATGGTATAGACTTGGTCAAAGGAGGCTAAAATTAAATGACCAGTCTCAATTATACCACCATGAAGGCTGTGTAATCACTAGCAAGTCCTTCGTCTCTCTGGTCCTCAATGTTGTCATCTGTCAAAGAGGGTTAAGAGGCGTGTCAAAGACACAAGGGAGAAAGTGTACAAGGGATTCTGTGGGAAGGGAGGGACACTATACCCCCACTCCCATGTTGCCTCTTCACCCCCGTCACGGATGGAAGCATCCCACAGCAAGTGGGGGAGAGGGTGAGGCTGCCTAAGACCCTCTTTCTCCAGCCCATGCTTTTCTCTTGTTACTTGGGTTCTTAGAAAAGATAGAATGATCAGAATGAGTGGAAGGAAATCAAACACCACCATGAGAAAGAAAAAAAGCAAGATACACTACCAGGAAAACGAAAAAAGGTTGACTGGAGACAACGGCAGGAGTTCAAACATCTCTTGATGTCAGAAACCAAGGTGAGATGCGGGCAGATGGAGTGCATCAGGGCGGGCGAGGGAGGGGAGTGCATAGACAAGGACAAGCCCCCGCCCCCACCGCGGCAACCCCCAAATCAAATTCAGAAATGGCAGAGGAAGGGGGCAGGAAAGGAAGGAAGGTGGCAGGACAGGTGGAGGAGGAGAAGGGGACACGGGAGGGACAGGGAGAAGAACAGAAAATCCAGGCGTAGGCTGGGGGCAATCCAATCCAATCCAAACCAAACCAAAACTTCAAACCATACCTTCGCTGTTTAACGTCAGGTGAGCCGGACCTTGGAAAGGGGAAGGAGAGAAAGAAAGAAAGAAAAAAAGAAGAAAAAAAGAAAGAAAAGGGGAAAGAAACAAAGAAAACACGAGTCATCAAAATCAGCCAGAGAGAAGGGAGAAAAAAGCTTTTGCTGCCACAATTTAAAAACCCTTTTTAACTTGTGACAGACATCGGGGAGAGCCCCAGCCCAGGAGCTGAGGAGAGGGGCCCGATGCCGAAACAGAGGGCAGAGGGCACAACAGGGGAGAGAGAGAGAGAGTGGGTCCTCAGAGAGGGGGAGAGAGGGAAAGGCAGAACCAGAGGAAGGAGGGGGTGGGGAGTCGCTGCAGGGGGAGAGGAGATTTTGGTTTCTTTTTTTTCTTCTTGCCGGAAAAAAAAAAGGAAAAGGAGGAGAAGCATGAGGCTGGGAGGGTTGCTTTTTCCTTTTTCTTTTTTTCTTTTTTTTTTTTCTTCCGGGAGGCGGAGAGAAAAAAAAACGGTCAACGAGAAAAACGATTCAGATGGAAGAGAAAATAAAACACGACACAAAAATCAAAGCCACCTGGAGAGAGAGAGAGTGTCCTGTTAGCGTGAGACTGAGTGGGCAAGGGGGCCTCTGACCCCCCATGCCCCCATCCCAGTTACCCCTATGACCCTGGCAGAGAAAGGGAAAAGATTGGGGGGTATGAGGAGCCTGGGCCTAAAAGAATCCCCCACTAAAGTGGGGTTTGGAAAGACATCTGGCGGGTTCTAACCCTCCCAGCTACCCCCTCCCAATAACCTCTGCGTGGATGGGAGAACCCTGCATACCTTGGTTCTGAAACACGTTCAGGAGGACAAAGTTAGAAAGGAAGCAGGTAGGAGAAGGTGGAATCTCGGGAAGCACTGGGACACTGGGGCCAGAGCTCTCCAACAGTGAGGTCCCAAGGGGCAGTGAAGCCATGGGAAGAGGCCCAGCTTTCCAAGAGGTCAAAGCACCTCATGCATAAATTACTCCACGGACACCCCCTTTCTCCTGTCTGAATCTCTCTGAGATGACCTAAAGGCTGAATTCTGAAAACGGAAAATGGACTGAGGGCAAGATCGGCTGGGATCTCCATCCAGTACTGCCTTGGCCCCTTGAGAGAGCCTTGCCAGCCCTAACCCCAGGCACCTCTCGGTGGCCTTCGTGGGAGAGAATCTGGCCCACTGGATCAGTACCTCACTCCCAAAAGGACACCAGCCAAGGAAAACGCTCTCCCACACAGGTGGCAGCACCAGGCCCACAGTGTGCTGAGATCCCAGGGCTCCCTGAGACGACCAGCCAGCCCACCCCAGGCCTCAGCCCCATCCAACCCATACCCACCCCCCGTGGTGCCTGGCCAAGAGAGTGGGGAAGGGAACAGCCCTGTAGTACCACTGTCACCCTTGGAAACCAGCCCAGCTACTATGGCAATGAGATGTGGGCCCTGGGGATAGAAAGCCAGGGCCAGGACGGAAGGAGCCAGGCTGAAGAGCTACCAGTTCTCCAAGACAATGCTGAGGGCCAGAATGCCAGGGTTCCAGGCGGAAAGGCAGCGAGGCGGCCAGGAAGGGCATGGCCAGGGGTCACAGGCCTGGACCCCGTGGAAGAGGTGACCAGATGGGTCACACTGTCCCCCTCCTCCCCATCTCTCAGGGGTGGCATTGGTTCCCCCTGCCCCCCCGGGTCTGAGACCAGTTGGGAGAGGAGCCACAGTTGATGAGCGAAGCCTCAGGACAGAACAGCTCATAGGAGGACACAGATTTTTACCCATGACACAGGCAGGGCATTTGGAACAAGTCTCCTCATTCCTTGCTCTGAAAGTCCCTCTACCCTACCACCGACTCTTTCCCCAAGAACTACCAGCATCTTCTTCCAACCCCCTAAACCCAGGACCCAGATCTAGACTCCTAAAGCCTCACCCAGCTCTCCCCGTCAGAAGCAACCTTGCCCTCAGGCTCCCACCCTTGAGAATCTAGGCCTCTGCCCTGCTGCCAGCCCGGGAGCCAGGTGCCCTGAGAACCCACCCTCTGTACCCCACAGACCCGGCTGCGGCTGGGGGTATGCCACATCTCCCCCTCCCAGACTCCTCCACTGCCCAGCTCCTCGCAGCCTCATTAGCATTCGGCAGTCTCCCTCTGTCACCACGGCAACCAGCTGCTCAGCTCCCTCAGGCGTGACAGCACCAGCCATCTTGGTGAAGAGGAGGCCGGTTCCCTTCCTGCCTACCCAGGCTCAGCCCCAGCTGGCCGGAGGCTTCTCTCCCTGAAGTCTGCCTCTGCTCCCTCCTCCTGGCCCCCTGCCCTCTGGGGATCCTCCTCCCACATCCACCTGTGGTAATGGCCCTCCTCCCACTGCTGGAGAAAAGCCTGGCAGTGATGGATGGCACTGCCAAGGGTCCCTTCCCTAGGGCACTTTATGTGGCTGCTTCTGGGTCGCTCTCCCTGCTACAAGGGGCTGGAAGGGAAAAGGAGGTGCTCAGCGAGGCCTGGGTTCCTGCAGCGAGCGAGGCCTTGGGCACGGTGTCCAGAATGGGAAGGTACAGAGGACTCCTGAGACATCTGAAGGGGAGGGACTGCAGGGTCCAGAGCAAAGTGCCACAGAGGAGGCCCGGCCCACTCCCATGGAAAAACCATCTGCCAAACCCACCTCCCCACCTCCTGATTCCCACCTCCCCAGAGAGGACCCCCATCGAAAGAAGAAAGACAGTCATAGGGGACAAGTTGAGACACACAAGCAGGCACACAGACATGTCACAGAGAGACACACAGTTGCGTCCCATTCCTGGGTGTATACACATACACACACCCTCAGATACACATCCCCGCATAGCCACTGACATGCAGGCACACAGGGTGCCACTTCCAAACCAGCAAGCCACCCTGCCCACCAAAGAAATGGCGAGTGGCATCCACAAGCTTCCTTCCTGCTGGTCCCCAAAGCTCAACTTCCCTTCTGGCCTCCGTCATCTGCTTTCCTCTCCCCTGCTCTCCCTAGACCCCTTTCACCCACACGGGGCCCTCCTGCCCTTCTTCTCTGGGCCAAGCTGTCCGGCTTCCTCTCCTCTCTGCCCCTGCCTGCAGCTTGAGCCTGAGTTCTCCTCCTCCCACCCCTTCGCTTGCCCCGCTCCTTCCTCCATCTCTCTCCTCCCTCTCTCCTCCCTCCCTCCTCCCCCCAAGCCTCTCTCCTCTACCCTTTTTCCCTCTCTCTCTTTCTCCCTCTATCTCTCCCTTTGTTCCGGAGGAGACATGACATCAAGAGCAAGTAAAAGTCACATCAGCACTAAATCTTATCTCCAACCCTCAGAAGGCTGCGTCCATCCAGACACGCAGACTCTCTCCCTCTGACACACACACAGAGGTAAACACTGACACACGGAGATGCAAACAGAGATGCAGACACACAAAGATGCTGACGCTCCTCCAGAAACACACAGAGATGTGGGCCACACCACAGAAGATGCAATAATGGAAGGGCACAGCACACCTGCACTCTGACACAGAACCGTGCGGCATACCCACTGCATGTCCACAGACGTATGCAGAGACACAGAGACCAGCAGAGCATATGACAGACAGACACACACAGGTGCCTGCCTGCTGGGCCCAGGGGACCTGAGGACCCCAAGGAGAAGAGACATCCAGAAAGCCAGGCAAGCCAAACTGTTGGCACCTCAAGGAGAAACGGGCTCCAGGCCCACACTCGGGCCAAGAGCCCCTTGTCACCTTTCTCTCCCAGGACCCCTGTGTCAGTGGCACTCTCCTGGTCCCTCCCTGGCAGGGCCCAGGCCCTGGCTCGTCCTCCCACTCCACCTCCCTGGGAGAAGAGACTGGGATGCCGCCTCACACCCACACCTGCCCGCCTGCCTTCTCCGTGGTGGCCGTGCCTGTTCATCTCCGGCCCAGCCTTCAAGCCTGGATCACCCAGTGCAGTCTTCCCTCTCCCTACTCTCAGACCATCCCAGAGAAGGAAGAGAAGCAGAGGGAAAACCAAAGCAAAAGGGAAAGGCTCAGAATGACAGGAACCCAGAGAGAGCCGGGGGAAGGGCCAGGGCCAGGAAGAGGCCCCGGGACAGAGCCCTGGAGAAAAAGAAGATAAAGTTGGAAACAGAAAAGGCATGGGGAAGAAAAGATGGGGAAAGAATGGACCAAGAGACCCCAAAGAGACGCACGCGCCCACCCTTGCCGTCCAGTTGGGCTGAAAGGAGCCCTACAAGCAGCCCGTGGGGCAGGGGCTAGGGGCTTGTGGCTAGCGTCAGTCATAGCAGGGTGAGAAGCTACCCTACCCTGCATCCCCAGGGACCGGCCCCAACTCTGCTCTCCACCACACTCCAGTCCCCAAAGCCTTGCAACTGAGGTGCCAGACCCAGGGCAGCCTCTCCCCAAGCACAGGCTTCTAGGACGGCAGCCCCCCCCAATGCCCCCCCCCCCCAGCCCCCCCAGCCGCTATCAGCATCGCCTTCCTAAACTCCCTAAGCTGGGCTGGCAAAGCAGAGTCTGCCCACTCACTTCTGGGTACCTCAGACTCCTGTCCGTCCCATCCCTCCCCCTCCACCACCCACCCCTTCCCTGAGGCCCGCTCCCTCTCCTGCAAGGAAGAAGAAAGGCCCATCCACCGAGCAGAGCAAAATGGGTACTGGAGGGATTGCCCCGCCCGGCAGCTCCCCACCAAATCAGTCGAGAGGGAACGGGCAACAGGGGCCGAGGTAGCCAAGGGAGGACCCAGACATCCTTCCCTGGAGGGGCCCCAAACATGGCATGAAGGGAGTTCTCAGATGACCAGTGACACCCCCTCACACAGGACCCCCCCGGAGAAAGATCTGCCACCCCAGTGACCGAGAGGCTTCACTCACCTTCCATGGGGTGCTCCTCTACAGTCGGCGAGGTTCAGAGAAGGGGGAGGCAGAGAGAGAGAAAAAGGAGGGCTGTTAGCAAGGTTACCCAGGTGTCATCCACAGGGAGTGGGGAGTCCAAAACCCCCGAGCCCACCAGCCCGATCACCAGTCACCCAGCCGGGAAGGCCCAAATCTCAAGGAACAGCTCCAGTGGGGATGGGGCAGAGACAGCTGCTCCCTGAGTTGGAACCCAGAGTCAACTACTATGCATCACACCCAATCCTCTGCAATATTCCAGGAAACTGAGGCCCAGGGCAGGAAGTGACCACTCAAGGTCACACGAAGAATTGGAGGCAGGGCCAGGAGTGACAGTCAGCCTTCCCGACACCCCCCCACAGGCTCCTCCCCTGTATGCCATGGCGTCTCAGAGACAGATGGGGACACACTCACGCCAGTAACTCTCACAGGGCTCACCCAGACACACTCACGCTCAGTGACACACTGACACACATAAGCACTTAGCAATCCAGAGACGCGCGGTCACTCACACAACTCACCCTGAAGTCTCTGCACACAAGGACCCACCCAACCCACCCAGCAGAGAAAAGGCATGGGGACACAGGGTCAGCAAAAACAGTTCTGCCACACAGTGCTGTGTGACTTCCATCCCACGCACTTAACCCTTCTGAGCCTCTTTTGTAAAAACGAGAGGGGTGGACTAGATAGGCTCTAAGGCCTCTTCTGATGCTGGTTCTGATTCCACGATAAATGCCCTCTCAACAGCTGGGTGAAGCCAAGGGCCCCCAGTTGCATGGCCACTCCAGTGGGGAGGAATGTCAGATTCAGCGGACCACACGGGACCCAGCCCTAGATCATGCCACACCCTTTGAGCAGGCAGCCCTCACCTATAGGGGCCCGCCTTGGCCTGGCCTTGGGGCTCACCCGTGGGTCAAGAAAGAAGATGGAAGGACAGCAGGAGGATGGAGGCCATTCCTTCAACTAAGCCACAACTCCTCAAGCAGGCTGGGCTCTGGTCTGCTTTGTAAGAGGCTGGAAGCGTCCCCAGCTTCAAACCTTTGCCCCAACCCCATCTCCTGGGAGCCCTCTGATGAAGCAATAGGTGGGGAAGGAGAGCACAGCCTGCAAACACATACACCCAGTGGCGAAACAACACACACACACACACACACACATGCACGTATGCAGGCCAGGATACACAGATGTAGACACACTGCCGTTCAGTACACACCCATGCATGCCCACAAACTCTGTCTCCTCCTATCTCCAAGCCCACTTAGTGGTATTTGCTCATTTGCTGGTGGTGAGGTAGCTATACTCCTTGAACAAACACAGTCATCTGTCATACCTTACACCATCCCCTTGATGCACACACACATACACACACAGGCTAATGCAAACGCCAATACCTGCACAGTGATCTCATATACAATGCCAGATGCACACACTGTTCACCACCACCCCACACTCCCTCCAGTGGCTGGAGACACACAGCTGTGGTAAACACAGCACCCTTTCTACCTACCTCCCATTTCCTAAACTGCACACACAGCCTTTCCACATCTACGTGTGTTACACACACACGTCTCGACAACACAGGGCTGCTTTTACCTGACAGCTGCATCCCCCAAAAGCTGCACATACAACGATTTTCTTAAATAAACTGAAACCCATTACATTTACAGGGAGAGCGGCTAGTTAAAAGGGCCCTCAGGAAAACCCTCCTACTCTGGCGAGGACCACTGTGTCGGGATTTCTCTGGCCCCAGTGTCTAAGGCCAGGGTCACTCAGCACAATCATCTTGCCAGCACCTGTGCAAACAAGGAGGCGTGAGGATTTCTCGATAATCCAACGTGGCAGATATTTCACAAAGTAGTTCCACCTGCCAGAAACGTGCGTCATGCTCTGCCCAGGAAGATGAAAACATCAAGCCTGGTGGCTTCTGACTTCAGAGAGACAACACCCAGAGACTCCTGGATCTCTCTTCTTCTGCTGCGCTTTGCTTTCTGCTGACTCGCCTGTGCCCCTCACCTGCCACCTGGGTCCTCCAGGTTTGGTTTCCTGCCCGCCACGCTCCTCCCAGAGCTCCTGATGGCTCACGTCCGCGCCTAGGGACTCCCAAACCTGTATGTGCAGCCCCGGCCTCCTCCCTGAGTGCCAGTCCTGCATTGCCATGTGTCCACTCAGGACACCTAACCTCCACCACCAAAGCCATTCTCCACGCCTCCACTCATGCCCAAGCATCCATTCCCTGTGGTTAGCAAAGGCTCTGCTTGGAGCTGACACTTCTTGAGCTCCCACTGTGTGCCCCACGCTGCCGGCCTCCGGAGGCTCCATTCACTAGCTGCGTGCTGGCCACCAAACTTGCCCTCATGTGGGATGTCGCACCTCAGCCTCACTCTGACCCTAATGAGCTCAGTGGCATCATCTGTCTTCTCTGCACAGAAAAGGAAACACCCAGGAGCACGAAATCACCTTTTGCCTTCTCCATTATGACCCTAGAGCATCGCGGCCTCCAGTCTCACCCCTCGTGCCCGTCTTCCTGCAAAGCCTCCTCTTGGTTGGTCTCTGTGCCCATCCCCAGCCCAGGCTTCTTGACTCAGGTACTGGACACACCCCCCTAAATGCTGCTGTGATCAGAACCTCGCGGTGGCTCTGGTGCAAACCTCTCTGCTGTGCTCTCGACAGAAGTCCCTGTCTGCCTTCAGGGCAGCTCTCCCCGAGTGCCTCAGGGCGCTCACCCTCAGCCTGTCCAAGGTGGGCCCCACAGCCCTTCTCCCCCGCCCCCAAGACCCTCCTGCCTGCATACACTGATCAAGTCCGGCACCCAGAAAGCTGTCCTGCTTTTTTGTCAGGCCAGTCACCAGGTCCTATCGGTTGCATGCTCTAAAACCCTTAAAACGAAGCCAAACTCCCCGAAGCCCTCACCATCCCTCCAGCCCAGGCCAGGCCCTGGTGAGATACAGCCTCGCCGGTTCCTCTGAGATGAGTACCCCGATGGCCAGTTGTTTCTGCCCTGGAAGTCACTCTCCACGCACCGCCAAAGTGATCCAACCGTGTCACAACCTGCTGAAAAGTCTTCAAGGCTTCTCAGCGCCCACAGGATAAAGCCCACTCTTCACTGGAAATTTGACTGTGCCTCTCTCCAGCCTCCTTTCCTGCAACAGACGAGGCTCCATCCACGCCCAACTTCTTCCTGTTTCCATAACACCCCATGCTTCTGCACACACGATGCCCTGGGGTGGAAACGCTCTCCACCCACAGCTGCCTGAGAAAGCCCACTCTTCCTCTGAAACCCAGGTCAACACATGTCGTCTGTGTTCGGAACTCAGGAGAGCCAGCCGTCCTCCTTTGTGCCAGTTCGAGAGATGTACATTCTATTATTATTTCACTTATTGAATCTACATTTCAATTGTGTTTACATGTCTGCTTCCTGACTGGACTCTGAAATATCCAGAGTGAGGGCAACGTCTCATTCATCTCTCTATCTCCAGCTGCTTGCATAGTTCCTGGCTCAGAAGAAGGCACGCCTATGTTTGTTGAGTGAATAATAAAATAACACTTCTCACTTACAGCGTGCCTGGCTCTTTACATGCATGATTTCACTTACCTGCCACTGCTACCTTGTGAATGGATATTACTACTGCTGCTGCTGCTGGGAGGAAACCAAGACTCAGAAAGCAGAAGAAGGCCAGGTACAGTGCCTCACGCCTGTAATCTCCAACACTTTGGGAGGCTAAGGCAGGAGGATCAGCCTGGACAAAACAGTGTGACTCCCATCTCTAGAAAAAAAAACTTAAAAATTAGGCCGGGCTCAGTGGCTCAGCCTGTAATCCCGTGCTTTGGGAGCCCGTGGGTTCGAGATCCACCTGGGCCACTTGGCGAGACCTCATCTCCACAATAAATCAAAAAATTAGCCGGGCGTGGTAGCATGCGCCTGTAGTTCCAGCTACTTGGACGGCTGAGGCGGAAGGATCGCCGAAGCCCAGCAGGACGAGGCTGCGATGGCCGGGAGTGGCCACTGCCCTCCAGTCTGGGCGACTGAGACTCCAACTCAAATAAATAAATAAATAAATAAATAAATAAATAAATAAATAAATAAAAATTAGCTGGTGAGGTGGGGCATGCCTCAGGAGGCTGAGGCAAGAAGAGCCCTGAAGCCCATCAGTTCGAGGCTGCAGTGAGCTATGATCCTACCACTGCACTCCAACCCAAATGACAGAGAAAGACACTGTCTCTTTTTTTGTTTTGTTTTGTTTGAGTTGGCGTCTCACTCTGTCGCCCAGACTGGAGTGCAGTGGCCGCTCCCAGCCACCGCAGCCTCAATCTGCTGGGCTCCGGTGATCCTTCGGCCTCAGCCTTCCAAGTAGCTGGAACTACAGGTGCGCGCTACCACATCCGGCTAGTTTTCTGATTTATTGTAGAGATGAGGTCTCACCAAGTCGCCCAGGAGGGTCTCAAACTCGCAATTCTCAGGCAATCCACTCACCTCAGCCTCCCAAGGCGCGGGATTACAGGCTGAGCCACCGAGCCCGGCTGACACTGTCTCATCAAAAAAAAAAAGAGGACAGGTGCAGTGGCTCATGCACCTCCCAACACTGTGGGAGGCCAAGGCGGGAGAACTGCTTGAGCCCAGGAGTTCAAGACCAGCCTGGGCAACACAGCAAAACCTCGTCTCTACAAAAAAATGTTTAAAAAATAGCTGGGTGTAGTGGCGCACACTAGTAGTCTTAGCTATTCAGGCAGCTGAAGCGGAAAGATGACCTGAGCCCATGAGGCCAAGGCTGTGGTGAACCGTGACTGTGCCACTACACTCCAGCCTGCATGGCCCCAACTGGGAAAAAAAAGAGAGAAAAAGAAGAAAGAAAGGAGAAGTAACTAGCCCAAAGTCACACGGCTGATTAAAAACAGAGTCAAAATTTAAAGCCAAATCTGCATGTCTTAAAGCTTCCGATGGGTTACATGCTTGGCCTGAAAGTCAAGACTTCTGGAAGCCAACTCCAAACTACAGTGCTG